GGCCCCCGAACGGAGGGGATGATGTCCTTCCACGCTGGACCCTGGACTTTGAAGCCCCAGCGGAGCGTTTGGGGATGAGATGAGAACAAACGCACCAAGGTTGGAGTTGTTGAGATCGCGGGGAAGGTTAGTAGTAATTGTTCTGAAAGAGGTTTGCAAATGATTGTGGGCAGGTGTAGAGTAAGGGAAAACATGGTCTACGTTCATTTAAAGATCACATGAGGAGTCCTCTGAGGGCCAACAGATTAGAGTTATTATCACTGGAGTTCTATAGTTTAGTGCTCATTAAAGTTCATAAAAGCAGGATTTTGAGGGGTGGCATGGGGAACAAGTTGGGTTATAAAGTAAGCTGCATATAAAGGTTCATACTGTTGATGAAAAGCATTTGTCCTTACTGAAATGTAAGGACAATTTCAATTTTTTGAAAATTGCTCAAGAAAACTTGTCACCTTTGGTCCAGACAGGGCTTGTCAATTCCATGTGTTCTTCCGTGACGTTTGTCAAACAGACAATACTTTTGGCATGTGATGTATTTATTTCTGGTTTGTAAAAACAAGACTGAATAGGGAAAAACGATTTGACAATTTGTAAAGCTCCTTTTGCACACTTTTTATTTTGAAAGTATAAGGGGATTTACTTTTTTTCTTTGCAAATGCTTTACAAGACATTGTAAGAAGAAAGAATCATTTAGATCAAAAAAGGGCTTTTGAGATGGGAGTTTACTTTTTCACAGTATTAAATTTTAAAGGGTATCACTCATGGTATATTTTGTGATGATGTTTTTTATGAACACTGGAAGATTGCAAGCATAAACACATACATAGTTTTAAATCAGTGTATGATATGAAGTTTTTCACCTTGAGCTTTCCCCCTCACCCATTTGCCTATGGCTTAATCAAGGAAAAAACTCAGTGAAGGTAAATATTAAATATGTAATCTTCATCTTTACGTTAGAATTTAGGATTGTAATAATCTATATTCTGTCACTCTGAATTTTCTTTCACATATTTGATAGTCTTCTCAGTTAGATACCACACTCTGTACAGTTTGTGTTGGAACAAAGGGAATTAACATTGATTGTATTCAGGCACTGGGCTTGGTGAATTATGTACTTTTATATTTAATCCTCATAGCTACCCTGTGCCAAAGATAACGTTATTCCTATTGTACAGTATTCAGTATCTTTCCTGAGGAGGTGATATAGCTGGTAAATTGGAGGGCTAGAACTTATGTGTGTCTGATTCTAGAATGTGTTTTTTCTATTATGCTCTGCATAAGTGTATGTGCTGACTGATACAGATTTTATGAAAGTGGAAATTTTTGTCACAAAGAGACCTTTCAATTCTGTTGCTAATCTTGAAAGCTTTCAGTGTTCTTGGCTGAAGATAATCTTAAGTTTTTTCCCCCAGATGTCTTCATTTTCTAGCCAGAGGTAACATTTTAGCAGGTCCACTGATTAGTAAGATTTCCTAGTAGCCGAAGTGACCTATCTGAAAGATAGTGTTCACTATCTTTGTCTCCAGTTTCAGCATGCCCAATGTACTTTAAATGTTCTGTTTATTCTGATCCTGAATAGTTTTTCAAATAATATTATTAAAATAAAATACCAACTATTTATAGGGGTTTGAATTTGCTTTATCATAGCTTGGAGGTATACTAGTACATACACCAACCTGCAAGTGGAGTACTTGATAACAGATACTGTTTTTCTTCTCTTTCATTTAGTGCAGAAGTTTTGGACCTAGTTTGGGGTTTACAGAAAACACAGTAGCTATTCTGGGATCCAGCATAATCTTCTGTGGGGCTAGGGAGTAACAGACCTTCGAGATTCCAAGCAGTATCTTAGATGAAGTGAAACAGCAGGAACATCTTGCTTAGTGCCACGGCCATTGGTTACTTTTATCCCCCATTGGTCTCTGCTCTTGCATCTTTGATGTTCTGCTGAGCTTGCCATCCCAGTCATTATCTCTGTTTAAGAGAGTTCAACTGGAAGAGTAGCTGCTAAAAAATTTTTTAAAGCGATGCTAGCTGGCACTCATCCTTTGCAGGTCCTTTGATTAGATTTACTTGTCGAATTAATTATCCCTGGCTGCAATTTCAGGAGAAGTTATGGAAGTTGGGATTTGCTGCTCCATCTTTTAAGAAGTAAATTGGACGTCTTTAGTTAAATAGCCCTGTCTCAGAAACATGGGTATTAGAGGCAGAGGGAAAAGAAGTCCTGTGTTCCTCAGGATGTGTCTGCATGTTTGTGATATATGAAGTTTGGAGCTTTGCTTGAAATAAAACCTTGGGATCCTGATGGGCAATATTTGGTCTGAATGAGCAAGATTTTCATTAGAGGCAGACTCCCAAGAAAGAGTTAAGTACACCTCCTTATTTGTGAAGGTAATTACTCATTGTATTGGGCTATTGGAGTGAAAAAATCGACAAATGATAATGTGAGTACTCTTCAAGTAAATAAAGCCTTTCTGAAATGATTCATATTGCCTCTATATAAATAAAAGACACCAGGAAATTGTCTCCGATGTTTTTAGAAGCTTATTTTCATACCTTCTGCATAATAAACCTCATGGCCACAAATATTCATTTGTCCAAGAGTGAAATGGAGCTGATGAAATATTTGGAACTGTCAAAATGAATTAATCCTAAATACTTAAGAATATTTATTATAGTTTAATTCATTGGTAGGTCTATTAATTTGTTCAATCCTGCAACATCCCACTTCCTTCCTGCTTCAAATTTCTCTTCTTACTTTCCTTCCTCTCTTTTGGACTATTACTGCTGGTGCATGGAGCCTTCCTATAGTTCTCAGCTGACACAATGAAGTCTTTGGCAGAGTGGATATTGACAAGGAGGGCAACAAAACTTAAAGTCCTCTTCCTTTCGATTCACTCTGCTCGAGGAGTTCGAGACCTGGACAAGATCCCATAACCCACTTTGTTATTTTTTTAACTTATTGATGAGAGACAGGAGAGAGAAACATTGACTTGCCGCCCCACCTATTTCTGCTTTCATCGGTTGACTCTTATATATGCCCCGACTGGGGATCGAACCCACAACCTTGGTGTATTTGAACAACCCTCTAACCAACTGACCTCCCTGGCATGTTTCCATTTTTTCTTGAAAGGAGAAAGAGTGGCCAGAGTGAGGGAGGAAGGGCCTTGATACTGCCACGGTTTCTCTTTTTCTTTTCCTTCCCTCTCCTAAGTGTTAAAGAGGCAAGTTTTTAAAAGCCCATCGGCTCCAGGAGCAGGCACTGTTCTCTTGTCCTCTTTTTCAGCCCACCCCAAACCCCACACTTTTGACTTGTTCCTTTTAGCTGCTATCCCACCCTTCATCCGTCTCTCCCAAGTAGGTCTTGCCTTCCTTATCCCAGGATCTCCTCCCAATGCAGCACTTTTTGTCCTTACCCTGAGGTCTAATGCCCTGCCAGTCAACCTCCTTCATGCCTTTCCTTGTGCTCTGCTTTGATCATGGAAGCCTGGGCCTTTGGTCCTAAGGGAGTCCAGACTCCCAGTTGGGGGAGGGAAGAATTCTACTTCCAGGACTGAGTGGGGCAGGGGTAGTTGCTTTTATTCAAAGTTAAATGCTAAATGGGTTTTCCTATAGGTTTGGTAATTTATTATACTTCTGTAACCTTATGGGTGTTTAAGTTTTTGTGGGTTGGCTTGGAAACCTGGCACATAGACCTTTGTTTCCTGGGAAAGAAAGTTCTGAGGTTCAAATAGATTATTTAAAAAGCCAGCTTGTGCTCCAGAAGTTGGGGTTGCATGCTTTTTGTTAATTACTCGGTGGGATGGTAGGGAGCACACCTTTAGTTCACCTAAATTAGATGTCCTCTGTGGATCAGATGGTTCTTCTGGGAGATAAACTGATAGCTTTTTTAGATTGTCAGTGAAGAATTTCTGAACTCTTCTAAGAATTCAGGCACATTTTTTGAGTTCAGACCATCCCAAGTTAATGTGTGTCATTAAAGCAGATGATAGTGTTGTGGAAAGAACATTTTTTCTTTGTCATAAAGGAATATCTTGTTCCCACTGTATCTTGCTCCTGTTTTGAAACTTTTCAAGGGTACTGGAATTCTTAGTTATTTTACCCTAGATTACTGAGCACTAAACATGGACAGTGTGTTTTACCTGAAGATTTTAAAGTAAACTTTTATTTGTTTGTTGTTGAAGTTAGATGCAGTTACCACTGTTTGTAGTGTTCAATTAAGTGAAGGATTTCAAGGTGATAAAAGCAAAGCAAAATATATTTTAAATTTATTCTCCATAAATGTGCTCAGTTTTAGCATGGTTGCAGGACATATTACTAATAAAAGGCAAGATGAGGTTTTTCATTGGCTGGGAGGAGGTGTCTCCAAACCACTCTTGTTTTTATTTTTTTTAATATTTTATTGTTTTTTTTACAGAGAGGAAGGGAGAGGGATAGAGAGTTAGAAACATCAATGAGAGAGAAACATCAATCAGCTGCCTCCTGCACAACCCCCACTGGGGATGTGCCCGCAACCAAGGCACATGCCCTTAATCAGAATCGAACCTGGGACCCTTTAGTCCGCAGGCCAACGCTCTATCCACTGAGCCAAACCGGTTGGGGCCACTCTTGTTTTTAAAATGAATTTGAGTCAGCTTCCTTTATTTTGAGAGTTTACCAAATTATTTAATTACACATACAGTGCAATGGTTAAAAAGCATGATCTCCAAGGGTAAAATGCTCAAATATCCAAATCTTACGTTTATCTTTTAAAATATGTTTTACTTATCTCAAAGAAGAAGGGAGAGGGAGAGATAGAAACATCAGTGATGAGAGAGAATCAACTGCCTCCTGCACACCCCCCACTGGAGATTGAGCCCACAGCCCAGGCATGTGCCCTGAACTCCTGGTTCATAGGTTGATGCTCAACCACCAAGCCACACTGGCTGGGGCAAACCTTCCTTTTGACACTAACTAGCTCGGTGATCTTGTGCAAGTTGCTCAATCTCCGACCTGTTTCCTCACTTTTGAAATTGTGATAGTGTAATACCTACTTCATAGGATTTTTGTGAGGATTAAAGGAGCCAGAGGATGTATAATATTTAGAACATGCCAAGCAAAGGTAAATATGCTCAGAGTTAGTTCTTTTTGTTATTATTCCTTTGTCATCGTCATTATTGATGCTACTATTTTTACTTTGGCTACCTTCGGAGATGACACCTCTTCTGGTTGTGTGTGAAAGACATTTGTTTATTTGGTAGTAATTTCTAGATATAAAGCTTATTGGGGGTCCAGGCAGAGAAGTATATTAACTATTGGATACATCCAAAATTGGCCATAGTGAAGGACATCCATAAAATATTCAGCCAATTTTTTTCCAGTAACACCATTCCTATTATGTTAGGTATAAGGAACTATGCCACTTTGATTAACTGCAGTGTCTCTATTAAAATTTGTATATATTATGTTGGTATTTGGGAACTGTGTAGAGGGATCTTCAATTTCTAAATGGTCCAATTATAAGAATTTCTTTTTGGAAATCAATTCCGTTTTCCCATAGAAATAATGTCACATGTGGCCTTCAGATTCCCAGGCCAACCCAACGTGTCTGAATTTGAAAACTGGTAATACCATAAAAACTAGCTTCTGTGTATAATAGTGTCTCAATAAGAAGAGCACTGAGTGCATCAAGTACTAAAAGATTATGAACACAATGTGGTGGAGTCACATTCCTTCACAATCCTAGCAAGGACTCCCAAGCTTTGAGCAGAGGAATTTCTTCCCTGGTGGAGGCTGAGGACAGGGTGAGAGTGTGACCTGGTTACTAGAAGGCAGGAGCGTTTTCTTGGTCTGGCTCCTCAGAAAGCTATATAGTATAGTGGTTGCTTTCAAATTTCTGTTCTATCACAGAACTTCTCATCTGTAAAATTTAGTTTTAAGTAATGCCTACCTTACAGGGTTCTTGGGAGGGTTAAATGCACTTTTAAAAGCACCTGGCACATAGGTGAGTGCATAGGAAATGTTATATATTTACTAAATTTTACTGTTCTAATAGAAATAAGCTTCTTTGGAATAATTTTAGATTGGCAGAAAAGTCGCAAAAATACTACAGAGTTTCCATATATCCTTCACCCAGATATACATAGCTGTGGTACATTTGTCACTAACATTGGTACTTTACTATTAGCTAAACTGCAATTTTATTCAATTTCACCAGTTTTTCTACTAATACCCCTTTTCTGTTCTAGGATCTGATCCAGGATACCATGTTATATTTAGTTTTTAAGTTACTGGGTTTTTTTTTTTTTAAGGAGAACAAAATTTTAAGTGTTTTTTATTGATTTCAAAGAGAGGAAGGGAGAGGAAGAGAGAGAATCATTGATTGGCTACCCCCTACAAGCCCCCTACTGGGCATCGAGCCTGCAACCCTGGTGTGTGCCCTGACCAGGAATCGAACCGTGACCTGGTTCATAGGTCAACACTCAACCACTGGGTCACACCGGCCGGGCTTTAAGTTACTTCTTTTATATATATATAAATATATTATTGACTTCAGAGAGGAAGGGAGAGAGAGATAGAAATATCAATGATGAGAGAGAATCATTGCGTGGCTCCTCCTGCAAGCCCCCTACTGGGGATGGAGCCAGCGACCTGGGCATGTGCCCTTGACCGGAATTGAACCCAAAACCCTTCAGTCTGCAGGCCGATGTTCTAGCCACTGAGCAAAACTGGCTAGGGCTTAAGTTACTTTTAATTGTCATTGAGACCTCCAGTTCTTTAGTAAATAAATTTCTGTGGCCATAAACACATTTTCTGATTTAAATTTTCTGCAGGTCCTTGAAAGACCAGGTGTTTCCCCTGGGAATGACAAGTCCAGGGATTCATCTTGGCACTGAACTTTATAGTTTGAAATAAAAGGAGAGAGTCCAATGATAGAGGAAAGACTGGTATGGGGATGGAGTGGAAACAAAAGCATTTTTATAATTTAAAAATGTTTTTACAGAACTAAATTGGGTTGTTTTACATACTGTTCACTTATGATGGATTTAGCTACAAAATGATGTCATTCTTTTAAAAATGTTAAAATTAGTAGAATGCATACTTCATACTATATTGGAGATGGAAGCTAATTGGAATGAATTGGATAAATTGTTTTTTAGTACTTAAAATTATGGTTGATTTAATAAGAAATTAATATTGTTAGTATATACAATAAGTTATTGTCCCTAATTAGTGTATTTGTTTGTTTATATGTACTGGTTGGTTTGTGGTCATGATTGATTTTTTTAAAGTATTTTTCAAGGATACTATATACTATATGTGCCATTGTCATTCTAAATTATCACAAATGCCTAAATTTTATGTCGAAGTTGTCATTTAGTGTAAACAGAAATTTATCAGTTAGGTTGCAC